CGTTCATACTGAGAAAATGCTGAAGTATCAACAATCCTGAAGGAGTATTTGCCTGGGTATACAGGTGATAGATATACAGATAGTGAGACAATGATGAATTCTCATCATGACTATTGTTAACTATGGATGGGTGTCCTGTGGGTTGCCAAAGTGTGGCTCATGCCTACACTGTGTGTTTTAGGTGTCAGCAGCTGAGGAAAGAAGAAACAGTACAGAAACAAAGTGACACTAACCACAGTCTCTGATCTCCACAGGGCCGATGCTGTTGAGCTCCGTCATGCCTTGGACTTCAGAGAAGACAACTTTAGAACCATCTGAAAATCTATGCTGCCGGTCGTCTGTGCAGAGCACCACTCCAGGATTTGCCTAAAATAAAGTTATGTTGATAACCTTCAAATTAGAAAGATATCTTTGAGTGATTTAAAGTGAGCTTATTTTTGACACTTTGAGAAAACCTGGAAACGACACTTGGATTGGGAATCATTTACATTTGAAGTAGACGGGTCAGAGACTCCTTCTATGTGGAGTTATTTATGTTCTTCCTGTGCATATTTGGATTTCCTTTCACAGTCCAAAGACATGCAGGTTAGGTGAACTGCCAACTCTAAAATGCCAGCAGGAGTGAATCTTACCCAACACAACTCTTCTCTATCTCAACGGCAGATAAGCAGGTTATAAAATGGACGGCTTGATAAGTTAGAAATGATTTCAACATGCCAGTAACATAAAGCAAATGGAGGGCATTACCTTAGAGACACTTTGTATCATAGCTGATGCCGGCTCCTCCCCATTCTCGTCCAAGACCTCAAACTCCTCCCCAAAGTCACAGAACAGCTGACTGCAAATTTACAACAAGGTTTTCACTTCTTTCTTTCCTTGCATTATTAAGTACATTCAATCTTTCATTTTTTTTTTTGACAGTTTGTCTTGCCCACTTACCCACAGAGACCTTTGGTGTCTGCTACAATAAACCTGATGCCACGTGAATGGCAGAAGTCATCAAAACGCTTCTGATCATCCAGTGAGGAGTCAGTGAGGACCACCACCTGAAAAAAATGACAATTCCCCCTCCACTCAGAAAGGTGTTTTTCTTGTTGTTACTGTTGATTGTCTGTGCTCAACCTAAATCAGAGATTAAGACATATGTACAAGCAGGATTTTGGGACATTACAACTACTCGTCCAATAGACAAATTATAGACCGTTTTAAACTTGACAAGATACATTTCTAAATGAGCCTCATTTGCATTTTCTGTTGTAATGTTTGTAAAGATGCTGGAGACATCTTATGTCCAGCAGTTCAACTTTTGAAATGGCAATTATTTGCATGATCATAACCTTTTCAATGAGGGAGAAGAAGTAGATGTCATTTTAAGAATCCCAATAAGGTCTAATATGCACCTAGTCTAGTCTGTATGCACCTGCAATTAAGTACCTGAAACTGCAGAAGCAGGTCGTCGTCCAGTGGTCCAGTGTGGGCCGACACACGCACATATGGGTTTAAAGCAGACAGCTGTTGTAGTGAACATGTGGCTCGATTCTGACCGAGATGGGACTCCTTCAGGAAAAACTGGAGGGAAAATGAAATTACAGGCTGACAAAACAATCTCAACTGGACTTGACTGTATCACTCAGTCTTCATCTGCAAAGGTGTCATTTATCAACTTTCCATGATTATCATGAGCACCTTTTGAATGCTTTGTCAACAGCCTTTACCAAGATCAGGAGTTAACTATCAAACTCAAAATTAATTAATTAACAATCCTTTTATGGTAACACTTAGAGCATTGGATTGGGAGGGGAGTAACTGTGCTTTACCTTTATGATGGGCTAAGTTAAACATCAAGACATGTAGTAATGTTAGTATTCAAGTACAAAAGTGAAAGTAAACAATAAACTTCCTGTAATACAAATGTCACAGGAGAACTACTGGCAGGTTTGGCAAGTTGCTGTTCCCTTAACAGGAAGTCGTTTACTTACACGTAAGCTTATCTCCTAAAAGATTCACCTATCTATTATTTACAGATCAACATCAAGGGGTTGTTACCTGGGAGGACAGGTCGGCCCACACCGCCGTGCCTTCATCCTGGACGGTGACAGACTTCACTCCGGACAGGATCACATTTTTGGCAATTTCTACCCCAAGACCACGCATGCCTGCAATGAGGACGTCGGCTGTGCCCATGCGGTGCATCGCCTCGTGACCCAGAACATACCTGTGCAGGTAAAAGATTAAGTGAACCTCTGGCCCTTAAGGGTGCATAGGTAAACTGATTGATTTGTATGAGTCGGTAGTACTTACAGCTGTCTGGAGTAGAACCCTTCATCGATTTCACCGATTTCTGACATGTCGCGCTCTCCGATATGAGATGACCAGTCTGAAGAGAGGGATCAGCTGGAATAACACCTGACACACTTCAAACCAGGATCAGAATGAAAAACCGGGCGTGACAAGTGACGGTTTAACGTAAAAGTGGTTCACTTTCGTTTCACGAGATTCTTTGGGTTTGCTCTCGTGCCAAGCAATAGTTTCTAGTCTGGCCACCAGAGGGCGACTCGGGACTGTTTATTGGGTTGCAACCACCAGCTGCTCCTGTAAAGGAAACATCATTAGAGCTTACAATGAACTGGTGGAAGTAGAAGAGAGTAAAACCTAATCTTTAAGTTTAAGTTGATAAAGTTAGTAAATGTATGTATGTGTTAATTGTGGAGACTTTCTGATAGTCTAAATAAAAATGTTGTTATTGCCAGGTAACTGTCAAAGCCTTAAACTTTTAAAACCATTTTTGGACCTTTTAGATTTGTTCTTGTATATTAACTTGTATTCTGCTTATTCTGCTTCTGTATTTTTTAATTAGGTAGAAGGAGTAGATGTACTTTTAAAATAAAGCTAACTGAAAATGTATTTGTGTAAAAAAAAAAAAAAAAAGACAGAACAATACCCTGCTTATTCATCAAAGCAAGTTTTTTCTTCTTTAACATTTCCGTGGTGATAATAACAATGAAACAGACTATTGCTTAATGTGTTTGTCATTCATTTTAACAAGCTAAGTGTGGTTTAGGGGACACAAAAACAAACCTCCAGAAGAAAGTTCTGCATGCAAAGGAGTAACGAGAAATGATTCATCATTACGTGTCAAATAGAGGCAGTAATTATGGCAGACCACGCTTATCTCATCGTGGTGTGTGAATGAGGAACAGACCTCTTCAAGATGTCAAAAGGAACCTGAAATCAGATGCAATACTCACATGGTGACTGAAATGACTGCACTGAATCATAAAACAGTCAATTTCAAGTGTGCGTGGGAAATAACCATTTTATGGTAGTTTACTATTTTAAAACTTATTCTGGGAATTTAATCTGGGACATTAATATATCTCTGGAGATACTCGTGCTTAAAAACTAAATATTCCTTGTATGGACCAAATTGCACGTGTTTGTTTGCTCCCTGTGATTTGAGCCAGGTTTTACACAGGGACAGAGCATACTCAAGGACTACATGTGGTGTCCTTAACACTGTTGTTTTTTGACAGTGTGTTTGTTTTCTCTGTGCCATGCACGTTTTTGGTTCTGCATTACTTATCAAAGTGTTCTCTAGTGGCAGTGAATATGGCAACGCTGACTTTTCAAACAGTCTGTGATTACCGACCTTTGGATTCAGTGGTAGATGTTTAACTTTTGGATCTATAATGCTTCATTATACCAATGACAACCTTTCTATTAGGACATTTTGTGATGATGATGAATAGCCTCGTTTTTTATGTTGCAGCCAACATGAGTGAGTTTATTTACTTTCTCCTTCCTGTCAATACTTTTTTTTTATCTGTTAAAGGTCACATTGCTGACAGTATATGAGGTGGTGTGACTGGAGAGGGGAGACATTCCTCCCAGAACTTCCTGGCTGGAGTTGTCTATATTTGAGGAGTAACTTCATTCCATCATCTGAAAGCAATGCATTTCTTGGCAACATTCCTCCAGGCGTAGCTCGGACTGCTTTTAAATATTGAGAAAGTTTTTCCACTAAATTCCACACAGTGACGCCTGAGTGGAAACACAGTTGGTGATATGATTTGACTCTTGGGACGGAAACGAAGAGGATATTTTGAGGCGGTCAGATTTCGCAACTATTTCAAACTTCCTTATTGCGGGCGCGGCTTGACAGGAGAGCACCCACTCTAGAGTCAATCGCGTCAGAATGACGGTAGCATTTCCGGTCTTCAACTTTCAAAATAAATCTTAAATCTTGCTCAAGGACAGGTTTCCTGATTGGTACCAATACTTGGAGGCAAAATCCAATTGTAGAATATAAAGGCATTTTAACTACAATTTTGTTGCCAAATAATAAAATAACCTATCCAAATCATCCACGTTAGCTCATGCAATGACGAAGTATATGGACAATCTGAATATATGTTACACTTAATCAAACCTAAGCTCACAGTTCTGCTTAAATTTAAGGATGTTTGAATTCAGTTGTTACATTTTTCAATAAAGGTTACTTGAACTTGAATGTCATTCTGTGAACTGTAAGGTCTGATTTTCATGATCTGTGTGTGTAATTGTTACAGCATAAATATTGGTACAGCATAATTATAAAGATCTGTAATATCATCAGAGGCTTATGATATCAACACATCATGTTTTCAATTGTAAGGCATACAATTTATTTTGAATCCCATCTCCATAACTTTTTTCTCCCTTTTCAGACTATTTCACTGCTGTGACATGAATTTCCCCTCTGGGAAAAATATTACTGTTATTATCATTGACTAAAATCAAATCAGTAATAAATCATAATTAAAATGAACAATGTTATTAGAGATGGTGCCTCAAATTCTTGTTAAAAACATTAGAAACGAATCATTAATCATCACACTCCCACCATGAGGACTTTGTCCTGGCGCACTTTTATTTTGAAGGTGAGTAAGATCCTGTTTTCATCTGTAGACTGTAGTTTTATATCAAAGCCTAGATGTAGTTCATTATCAGGGTAAACTCGGTGCCAGTGGGACTTCGGTGTTGTCAAGTGAAAAGCTGCTGCAGGTCCATGAATGGACCTTCACTAACACAGGAAATTTATCTCTCAAATAATTCACATTTTGAGACTGTTGGACAAATCACGACGACATTCACCCCTTGTCAAAGTGAGGTAAGAAGATTTATTTTTAAATAGCCTACATTTGTTATGGAAGATGTCTAGTATCTATTGGTTCATGTTAATGAATGACTGAACACATTTTCTCATAATTCACAGCTCATCGCCAACCTGCACAGGAGATGTAATTTTAGCAGTTATTATAAATACATGATCCTAATCATCTTGACTTTAATGCTCAGCGGACTCTGTTTTGGACATTTTAAAATAGTTCTCCATTACATAATAGTGTATTCAGATTCTGATACAGGATTATTATCATTTGCATAAATGTGTACCCATGAATTTTGCCATTTTTACTTTTTGACTAATTTAGGCTAAGCTATTACTCTGTTTACTCTGTCTATGGCTCTGGGGGTCTGAACATTTCCATTGCTCCACAGGTTGCAGCAAGTCATGTCTTGCCCACAGTAGATTTTATCTTGACTCTTACAACTTGTTATTTTGGGCTTTATCAGCTCTATAGCCCAATAAGTTTCACAGCTATGCCATATCTGTGCACGTCAAGTCTTATTTGTCTGAAAAAGCAGCATCTACTGAATCATGGGGCTCAGCAGCTGATACTTTCCCCTCTTCCCTCAGTTCCCCATGCTGCATTTCTCAGTTTAAACAAGCTAACATGTTTACAGTATCCACTTCAAAAGCAATGAATCTCTGCTGAATGTGAGATTCAAATGTTGCTGCTCTCTGTCTGTTAAATCTCAACATTCCTTCTGTGTTCTCCCTCACAGAGCTCCTGCTGGTTCTCCAGAATGTTCCCTTTGAGGAAAGCATCTTATCGGTGATACTCAATCACGGTGGGCTGTGACGTGGAGATGGTCACTTGGGCCGCCTTGCTGACAGTATGCACATGGATACAAACACAAACAGCCTCAGGACAGCACACATGTGCTTCTACTCCACACAGGCTGGTGGATTTCTCTGTAGAATATTCCCTCCCCCACTTCCAGACAGACAAACCTATACAGAACATAGCTGTGAACTGGGAGGAGAATCGGTCAGACGTGTATGTTGCATGTCAGAATGCAATAGAGGCAGTCAACTATGATATGGAACAAATCTGGAAGGTGAAAACTGGACCTGTTGGCAGTCCTGACTGTGAAACTTGTTTGTTGTGTGACATGGAAATAGATCCTGGGGATCCCGTGGATACAGACAATGAGGTTCTGCTTTTTGATCTCTCTGCAGTTCCCACTCCCTACTTGTACATTTGTGGGAGTACTCAACATGGGATCTGTCACTTCATTGACACTGGCTCTCCAAAGCCTGAGCCGATGTGCTTATACAAAAAGGAGCTAAACTCTCCAACCAGCTGTACAGACTGTCTGGCCAGCCCCCTCGGCACCAAAGTCGCCCTCGTTGAACAGGGAGCTACAGCGTTCTTCTTTATCGCAGCCTCTGTCAATGACGAAGTGGCACAGAGGTATCCAAGGAGGTCAATATCAGTGGTGAGGCCACTTTCAACTGAAGATGGCTTTCATATGATCATGAATGGCCTGACAGTGCTCCCCAGTCTACGGGACTCTTACAAGATCGATTACATCTACAGCTTCTCCACCGAGGAGTACGTCTACTTCCTGTCCCTGCAGAGAGAAACCCCATCCAAGAGTAACTCAGCTTTTCAGACTCGTCTTGGACGACTGCCGATACGAATTCCAGAGGTGTGGATGTACAGAGAGGTGGTCCTGGAGTGCCGCTACAAACCAAAGCGCAGGAGACGGAGAGAGGATTTGGGAGACACTGTGTATAACGGGCTACAGGCGGCACACTTTGGGCGAGTGGGGAAGGACTTGGCAGAAGAGCTAGGGTTGAAAAAGACGAAAGACATTCTGTATGGGGTGTTTGCAGAGGTGAATGCACATGGCGAACCTCAAAAAAACTCCGCCCTGTGTGCCTTCCCTTTGGCTTATGTAAACCAAGCGATAGACGCAGGTGTGGAGGACTGCTGCAAGTCGGGTTCGGAGCAGCTGTCTAGAGGTCTCTGTCACTTCCAGCCGTGCGAGAGCTGCCCACATGAAGTGAGTAACTCTTCTTTTCTTTTTTTATGCCCGACTGTCGTCAGAGCAGAGGAACAGTGCAAAGGTCCTATGCCCAGACAGGAAGTGACCTGTTCTGACAAACACTGTGTAATGAACTCACCTTTGATGGAACAATGAAGTTTATCATTAAGCTGACAGTTTTATATCATCATCTTGAGCAATAATGAACAGTGTAAAGTAAATCTTGACTACTGGAGTAGTGTATGCCTGTGGGCTGTGACGAAGGTGTGTGAGAGAGCATACCATATCAGAGAACTGGGAGGGGTGGATGAGTCAGTAGTCTGACCTGCACATTGCCACACTGTTTCTCTGCTCTGTTAAGTTTCAGTATGTCTCTGTGAATGGGTGGCAACCGTTTACAGCACAGAGATTTGATATGAAAACTGTTTTATCAAGATTAGAGGCTCAATGATTAGACTAAGTTGGATTCTTCCGGTTGCTACAATTTTCCTGCCCAGAACAATTAATTGATGAGCTACTGAGAAAATAGTTGGAAGATAAACCTAAAATAAAATGCAGGGTTCACTCTCAAAACACCCTCTTGAAATAGAGCATTTGGCTGTGGTGCTCGACACAATGATAAAGGTGTGGTCTTTTCCCCTTTGTGGAGTTCAAACTGTACAGCCATCTGTACACCGACAGGAATGTGTGCCAAGAAACACAAGTTATAAATCCTGCTGATAAAAAGGTGGAATTCCAAGGGGAGGGACAGTGTTAGACTGTGCCTGGCTTTTACACATGCTATCTGAGTTGGAAACGGGTATAATATTAAAGACGTGAGGGGTGGGGAGGAAAGAATCTTTCACTTAATCGATAAATGAAAAACTCATAAATCTATCTTAAAGCTGCATCTAAAAAAATTACATGGATACCATATGTATTCAAGCTTCAAATGCTGGAATACTAAGTGACTGGAAAGATCAAATGACGTAAATATAGAGACATTCAAATAGTGGGAAGCAAACAGGGACATGCTGGGGCAGGTCAGGTAAATTGCGTTGCAGTGGAATGTGTATCATTAGTTGAACATATCCTCTCTTTTGAGTAATTACTTTTTGTCAACCAAACTTATACTTATGCCAACCATTCACACACATCAGTCATCAACTGTTTTATGATTATGAAAGTATAGAAAGTCCAGTTTCAGTATATGACAATCTGCACTGAGTATCCGTCACCAAGTCAACATATGGAGCCGGAGTCACTGCTGTTTTATGACCTTGTTCCTCTCACAGCTTGTTACTCTATGACTGGAGGCGATGCTGTATAGCACTTCCTTCCCAGAAGGAGACTGATGCTGACGGAGGCAGATACTTTAGATGTGTCTATGTAAAAACTAACACCCTTGCTCTGTATGTTTTTCTCCTGCTTGCACAGAGCTCTGGAGGTAATGACACATGCAGTGTTAAACCCACTCTCGTGTCAAAGCCGCACTTCAGACTAGACCTTTTCGACACGAAGATGAGAGACGTCCTTTTTACTGCTGTCCTGGTCACCACTATTGGGAATCACACACTGGGTCACTTTGGTACCTCAGATGGTCGAATACTGCAGGTAGCAGCATAAAATAGTAATTAAGTGTTGTGCCTCTGCAGTTTGAATGTATTATACCAAGTGTCTTCTTCAGTAGTCACAATAAACATAATTTCAAATGTGAAAAATTTCAAAAATGAAAATCCTTGTGACATTACCTCTCTGTTTTGTGTGGTTTAGGTGATTCTTGCTCGGTACAGGCCTATTATTTTTGCCAACTTCTCTCTTGGAGAAAGCCAAGTCTCCAGGACAGCAGATGTGTACTCAAACGATTCACTTCTCTTCATAGTGGGAAATAAGGTACATTTTGTAATATCTACTGCAGGTACTGCTTGTATTTTTGGGGGGTTTGCAGCCTTTAATGGTGCAAACAGACCAACATTTCGACCCCACTGTGTCTTCATCAGAGTCAAAATGGTCAAAAACACAAGGCAAACACACACAGTCAACCTACAACCATTTGTCAGTGGATAATTGGTCGAACAGGATTTCAAATCTATTGGATAGTGGATTCAGTGGTTCAAGTGGCACAACACGTGCACTATAATCAGATCAGTAACAAATGAACACAGATATATCTTAAAGTTACCGAGATAAAGTACAAAAAGCACTGCATCCATACTCAGCTGGAGGACACATGATACATTCTGTTCTTTAATTAGGCCAAAAGGCTAAACTGTGTTAAAAGTATAAATCCGAAATGCTTTTCTGCAGAACAGTGGGTTGACTTGTAGGAGAGGATCCATGTTTTCCTGCTTACCTTTTGACTGTTTTTCTCTGTTTCTGGCTCAATCCACCCTCGTCTTCTTCTCTCCTGCATCAAGATGTTCAGGGTGCCCTCTGCAGGACCAGGGTGTGCACATTTTATGACGTGCTCCATGTGTTTGACGGCGCCACTCTTCATGAACTGTGGCTGGTGTTCAGGAATCTGCTCGAGGCAGCATGAGTGTGCCTCTCAGTGGAACACAGACTCATGTGCACCTGTCATAACAGAGGTAGATCTGCAGCTAGGTGTAACTGATTAGCCACTGCATGAAGTTTAAAACACCATGGGCCTCATGCATCAACATCCAGTTCAATTTGTCCTTTATTTTCTGTAAAAAAAAAATAATTAGAGAAGTCAATGCCAGATGCATCAAATGTTCTTAACCATCCTAATCTGCTCTCATCCAGGTGTGCTAAATGATGAATCACACCTGATAATTCATTTGAGGCATGTAGCCGATTGCTTTTTACTAGCACAGGTAACCTCCCCTAAATACTATATAATGGCAGGTGTTGTTTCGTGTGCAAATACTCTGGCATATGCCCAAGAATCGGAGGGATGCCACCAAAAAGCAAAGAGCAGATATGTAAACCATTCAGAGGCTGAACACACAATATCATCCGAGGATTTTATAGTTTTCATTGGGATCAATAGTATTTATTCAGCCCACAAATGTAATAATCCAGTAATAATGATTACTCTAAAACATATAATAATCTAAATTTGATATGAAATGTTTCTTTATTTTTTTTTGCATTGGACAAACACTTTGTAAACATGGAAAACAAGATGTTTTTCCTTATCTTGTTAAGAGGGCTCTTGAGCACTCTTAAAAATAAAGTAAAAATAAAGTAAAAAATAAGAAAACATTGGTGAATCCCAGGAATGAACGGGTACTAACAAAAAAAAGAACAAATCATCGATATGAACAAAAATAAGAGGACTTTTTTTAAATATTGTTTCCTGCATGAGGCCCTGTGAGAAATAAAGTTACACCAATCACAATAATAGTACTGATTGTACTGAGACGCTGATTGCTCTGGATGAAAACCCTTTTCTCTGCAGTTTTTCCCTAAAATGGTACCTGCTGGTGCTGAGACAGAAGTGACACTGTGTGGCAGGGAGTTTCAGTCTCCTCTGCGACCCGCCATCATCAGCGGCAAAACCCACATCATCACAGTGGGCTCTGGGACCTTGTGTACCGTGCTGCCTAAGAGCAATAGTCAAGTGTGAGTAGCATACATGCATACGATGTCAGACACAGTTTATTCTCTCAGTTAATGAGGGAAGAGTGATATATATTAGCTTAAATTACAAAAATGCATCCAAAAAGAGATGTTGATGATCAGACTTGTCACTTTTTATTTCGGTAATAGATTTAGGGTTTATTACCATTTGTTAAAATGTTTTCTAATAGTGAGGTGTGGCTGGCTAGTCTTAACCTGAAAGAGCAATTTATTTTTCCAAAATGAAACAAAATTGTTGAAACTTATAAATACTGTGGAAATGTTTCTGTCTCATTGCCACATTTGCTGCTGTTCATTTCTGTCTGACTAGCCGTTGGAATGTCTTCATCTATTGAATTCATAGACATGTCAGTCCTTGTTTTCTTTAATATAGTCTAGTATGCAAGATTCAGGAAAACACACCAAACCAGGACCTCAACATCACTCTGGAAATACACGAGGGGGAAGTGGAGGGCCGCTACACAATTGAAGGCACAGCACAGATGCCTGGCTTCTCTTTTGTGGTGAGAATGGAAACATTTAAACAGTTTTCTGTGTATGGTCTCTATTTGCCTAAATTATCTGTATAATGCAACATTGTTAAGTGAAAACCTTTCACCTCTGTCTAACCAGGAGCCTAACATAACAGAAATCAGGCCTGACTATGGACCTGTGTTTGGAGGAACGATGGTTACACTGACGGGCAGATATCTTAATTCTGGGACACAGAGAAATATCTTATTTGCTGACAAAAAGTGTAACATCCAAAGGTGAGCAAGATAGAAGAATTCGTCTTTTGCTAACAAATGAATTATGCTCTACAACACATTCATTTAATTTGGTTTTGGCTTCTGGTTATCTCTTTTCTTTTCAGTGCTCCTGAAGGAAGTGGGACTTCTTCGATTGTCTGCCTCACACCAGCTGCAGCAGGAGTTGGGAAGGTACCTGTGACAATCTTCATTGACAACTTTCAAGTGATGACCACCAAGATGTTCTCCTACAAGAAAAATCCTGTTATAACTGCTGTACATCCTCATTGCAGTTTCCAAAGGTTAGGACGCTGATCCCAGTCTGCTCATGTCCTATTATTGGACTCCAAATGAAGTGATATCATTCAAAAAAAAATACCTTTCATTGCCTAAACTTAAAAAGACAATGTTTGCAAATAATAACATATTGCTCATTTGTACTGTCATACAGTGGCTCCAAGCTGGTGATAAAAGGTCAGAATCTTGACTCTGCCCACAAAACTGTGGTTCAGTACACGTCCAATCACAATGTGCAAATTCTTCAACGAGTAAGTTAACACTTTGATTTTATCCTTGTGTAAGTCTGTATAGACAGTACATTATTAAATTAAACTACTTTCATTTCAGTTAAATTCAAACCAGGTCATTCAACAATTTCAGCCATGAGTTGCCAGTCTTACTCATTCCTTCAGTTCCAAATGAACCTGTGTATATATACAAACTGTTGTTGTGATTTCTAACAATAACAACACATAATATGCTTATTTCACTTAAGGTCTGCAGCGGCACAAGTAATGCCACATATATGGAGTGCTGGGCCCCTGCTTATCCAGAGGAAATGCCAGAAGATAAGTCTGACGCGGGATATATTTATATTCACATGGATGGCAAAAGTAACCTCTGGAAGAAACGTTTCGACTACCACCCTGATGCCAAAATCATTCCCATTGAATATGAGGACAAACAATTACTACTAAAACCAGGAGAGACAGAAGTTTCACTGCATGTATGTAATGTACACACTCTACCATTACGTTTTTTTCCCACATCTATTTGTACAACACGTTTTGTTGTATTAAAATCTCAATCCCAACAATACTTGAACAGCGCAATTATTAATATCAGTGCACTCTTCTCTTTTTTCGCAAATGAACAGCATAGCAAACTGAGTACAGTGAGTTCATGTATGAACATCACAATGACCATTGGGGGTGTGGACTGCAATGCCCAGGTTCTGTTAAATGAGCTGACCTGCAGGATTCCTAAAGGCCTGGTTATTCCCAGCGAGGGATTGCCTGTCGAGGTGAGAGAGTCTGCTTTTAAATCATCAACATTAACCTGAGTAACTTTATACTCATTTAAATGTTTTTACCGAGAGTCACCATCTGTTCCACTGCTGTAGGTGTCCGTGAATGGGGAAGTTTACGGTGTGGGAACAGTAGTCAACGATGACAGCAACAACAACACTGTGATTGCGGGCATTGTGGTGGGCATTTTGGCCGCATTGGTAGTAGGTGCCGGCCTTGCATTACTTGTGATGATCCATTTGAGGAAGAAAAAGAGAGGTTAGGAAATCCTGAAATCTAGAACACTTGCAATTTAACTTTAATCCGGCACTAATGGTCCGTTTACTATTAACCTGATCAACTGTGACTTTTGCTTTTTGACTTACTTCATGGCATGTTTTCATAGTTTATTGGGCAGTAATTTAATTCATCATGTGTCTCCTTTTAGCAAACATAGAGAGTCGTTTGTCAACAGTGTTTTCACGGAACCGAATGGACAGCGGTCATAATATCTCTCCGACAGGTGACTACAGACGAGGTGAGAAATCCAAATTCATTCATTCATTGTCCATTTTACTGTAACTTTTCATCCATCATCAGTTTCCCTCTGAGTATTGGATGGTCTCTTCTAACTTGTTTCACTGTAAGTGAAGATTGTATCACATACTGTAGTCTGTTTTCTAAGAGAAGTAACAAAAGATGCAATGGCCTGTTGACTCCAACAAATTCGTGACATGGTTCCCTTGTGTGTTTCCCTTGTGTGCTGCAGTGGATCTGTCCAGTCAAACATCAGGTTCAGGAGGAATGGCCTTCCACGGTTTAGCGTATGCTGCCAGCTATGATCATCTGTCCATTCCTTTAATGTCCCGGGACAATCTCTCAATGGTCAGTCTGAGCTCTGAACTTCTTGAAGAAGTCAAAGATGTCCTGATCCCAGCTGAGATGCTCCGAATTGAGGATAGCCAAATCATTGGCAAAGGTAAGTCTCTTGTCTTTTATATTTGTTGTTTTTGTTCTTTCCTTCCAATATTTTTGCACTAAATATTCACAATGACCACATTTTCTTCTCATGCAGGCCACTTTGGTACAGTTTATCATGGATACCTGATAGACAGCAAAAAGCAAGAGACCCACTGCGCTGTCAAATCACTGAACAGTATGTGAATACCTTTTTTTTAAATAAATGAAATCAGTATCATATGAGCTCCTGGCTGTTGGATTAATCTGTATATCTGTATGTGTTGAATAGGGATCACAGAATTGGGGGAGGTGGATCAGTTCCTCAGAGAGGGCATCATCATGAAAGGTTTCCACCACCCCAACATACTGTCTCTGCTGGGCATCATGCTGCCTAAAGAAGGGCTCCCTCTGGTGGTTCTACCGTATATGAAGCATGGAGATGTGCGTCACTTCATCCGCTCTGAGAAAAAGGTAAATTGCGCAATGAAACTTTCTGGACCGGGAGGTTTGTGGGTATTTTTTAATACTTCAGAACATGGATGTTTGTCTATTCGATACTTCCTTGTCCTTCACAGAACCCAACAGTGAAAGACCTGATAGGCTTTGGGCTTCAGGTTGCCAAGGGGATGGAGTATCTAGCCCAGAAGAAGTTTGTCCACAGAGACCTGGCTGCCCGTAACTGCATGTGAGTGACACACTGACAGGCCTGTGGCATGTCAGTGGATAAGCTTTGTGAGGTGATGTATTATAAAGGTGTATTTAAGTTTTGGAATATCTTTACTGATATAATATATGCAAGAAATATAAGTCTTGGTTTGTACCGATCTATGGTTGACTACAGCACAGATACATTAATTAATCCTTAAAAGTAACATCACAAAGTTAGTAAAAGGGACATAAAGGGTATAAATACACCAGATTACTGATGCTGCTTGTATTTTTCTTTAACATTCAACTTTTATTTTTTCAAGTATTTTTGATTTAAATGGATAAAGAAAGAAATTGCTCTGATGATCCCACCAAATGAAAAGTATGACAGTATATTTAAAATTGTATATATACACCTGTATATGAATAGACTTCCCTTTCCATCTGAAGGCGATAAATATTTGAGAAAACTGGTGGTATAGTGTTTCTGTTTCAATCAGCTTATTTGCCCAAACATATTCAAGGAATAGTAGAACATTTTTAGAACACCCTTTTGCTTTCTTTGAGAAAAATTAGATAATACAATTGATGCCACTCTCCCACATTTCACTATTTTTGCATCCCACCTGTGCATAGCAAATCTCTAAGGAGACCTCACTGCTTATGAACACTGATTGTCCAAAATGGTGTAAATTAAAGTTCACCTGGCCTTCAACCTCTTGAGCACACCTTGAGTCTAGAGATGTGTCATCTTAACAGGAAGTGGCAGAGAGAAGATGTTTTCTTAAGGTGCCTTCTTATTTCAGGCTTGATGAAACCTTTACAGTAAAGGTGGCTGACTTCGGCATGGCAAGGGACATCTATGACAAGGAGTACTACAGTATTCAAGATCACAAACGGGTAAAGCTGCCAGTGAAGTGGATGGCCATCGAAAGCTTGCAAACACAAAAGTTCACGATCAAGTCTGATGTGGTGAGTGTTCTTTCTCCAGTCTACTGCAATATGCTTGTTACAACTATTACGTATCTCCAATATATTGCATTTCTGTTTCCCAGTGGTCATACGGCATCTTAATGTGGGAGCTGTTGACTAGAGGTGCTAGCCCATATCCAAATGTGGACCCCTATGACATCGCACACTACTTGTTGAAGGGACGTCGGCTTCCCCAGCCACAGTTTTGCCCAGATACTCTGTAAGAATCATAACTGCACCCTGTAGACATCACATGCCAAAATGACTAAACACATTTTTTGCAGTATCTTATATCATTATCTCAATTGAATCAATTATTTTCAAACTCACAATGGCATCAAATAGTTCAGTTACCTACCCACATATTTACTGACGCACTTGCTCATTCCCTAATTGACACATTTATTCATTCCACAGCTACTCTATAATGCTGGCATGTTGGGACCCAGAGCCTGAGTGCAGACCTAGCTTCAACTGCCTAGTTACAGAAGTGCAACACATCCTGTCCTGTCTGGAAGGAGAGCACTACATGAATCTGAAGGTTAACTATGTCAACTTAGACCAGCCACGGCCCTACCCGTCCTTGACTGGATCTGCAGATGAGGCCGAGGCCTCAGACTTGGACTCAGACAGTCCTGCTGGCAGCTGAGGGTGCAAAGTCCTAAGACTCTCCGATAGGAACGCAGGATCCGGATTAAAGTTCGACAGCACACAAGAAAAGTGACACGGTAACCTGGATCCAATCATGCGTCACATACATTGTTGATCTTTTCTACAAACCTGAGCACATTGAAGGTTTGGCTACTGATTTAAAAGACACTGTAGGTACTATAAACTCTTATTGCAGCTGAGACAAAACCACGCTGGAAGTTCCCGATCCTTGTTACCTGGTTTTATTTGTAGCAAAATGGAGTGTCGCAAAATGAATGTAAAATGTGCAATTGTTCTCAGACAGAATAGGATGTGAGACGATGTGCTGATGTCTCTAAGTCATTGCATTGGACTGTTAAACACAGGGTCTATAAATGCTGACGTGCGCTCAAGGGTCAACTTTTTATTTTTTTTACACAATTGTCCTGGGGTATAATAAAGATTATATCTCTTCATATAGGCTATAGAATGTGGACTTAGTACAAAAGGACGTGTGCATGTGAAATCATCCTACTGGATGCAGAATAACTCAAGCCATTGAAGCTGTCCGTGCTGTTCAGATGTCAATGATTAGAAACACGTCCAGTACCTGTCGTTATCACTAGAGGGCAACCAATGCCTCCTTCTTAAGCATGCTTCAATGGCTGCTGCAGTGACGTCTGCTGCACTACGGCAGATAGCTCGGAGCAAATATGTTACACAAACAGTACCACTACAATATATTCAGCTGAACAAACTCATTCCTTCATTCATTTCAACTCAATCAACACAGCATAACATGCTGTCCAGACTGTGCATTCCTCCTTGTTTCCTGCATGTAATTACAATGATCTTCACAGCAAATTAAACAATTCATGAGATTTAAGAATGTATGCACTGATTTTCCAACTGCGGGTTCATGTGCAGTGCGGTTTAACAAAAAAATATATTTATGTCGACCAACAAGCTTTCCACCAGGGGTAATAATTTTGGTTCTAGTATACTTGATTTTTGTCATTGCTGCATTTTCTCTCCTTCCTGCCAAGCTTTACCTGATTTTCTTTGCTCTAGGTTTCACTGTAAAGAGTGTTTTCGCACTGACAAATGGTCGATTGTGCATATGCAATACATGTCAAGTAAAGGGTATCAACAAATTAAAGTCTCCCTAGACCTGTTTTCCCAAGCCGTATCCTGAATTTATACAAAGAAGAATTCAAACAAGATAGATCTTCCTCAAAGAAAGTCACCTAAAATGTTATTCCTAACAGTTGTTTTCCCCCCGGAAGTCCTGATAAGCGTATCATCAAAGCAAATGACATTGGTCGGAGCCAGTACAGCCCTTGTGCTCGGTCAGGTGGATGAGAAGAAAAACACACACTGTTAGAGGTCCAATCAGAGTGAACACTGCATGCTTCTGTCTAATCTGTGTATCTAGCATTTGTAATACTCTCTATGAATAATTTATGGGTCTTAAAAAAAAAAATGGTGGCAGTAATAATGTTTATAATGACAAGCTCTAGTTGTATTCAGGTAGAGGTTCTGGATTTGAAAATAAGGTGATGTCTGCAGCTAGATACCGAACAGAAAGACAAAATTGTGGATATTTTTTACAGTGACCACCATTGCATTTGAGATTTTATTTTATTTAAGTAATGCAAAAGCAAACACAGGATGTAATGTGTTTAAATTTAGGTAGTAAAACATCATCAAGGTAGTTCCTGGGCTCTTAACTCTAACTAGCTTGAAGGGTTAGTTCATTTATTTAGCAGTACACACATTGTCATAAACTTGGGGGACTTGCAAGGGACACCTTAGAAAATAATAGTCAAAATTGAAGCAGCAGTGGCCAATGATATCCTGAGGTGTAGTCCCTAGCATGCGTCAAGTTTCAAAAACATAGGATCCTACACTTCCCATGATGCAACTTGAAAGCATCTTTAATTGAAGAATGATTGAACCAACCATCAATGCATCAATGAAAAGCCTGATTCTAACAAAAGAGTCCCTGAGCACCTACACCAAGTCGCAGATGGTCTATTTATTCAGAAGCACCACATATGTCCCTCCCCCACTTACACACACACACACGCACGCACGCACGCACACACACACACACAACCCCATCTAAACCCAGTAGCACAGTGAGGGGGGAATAGCTGCACTGAAACAATCTGAGAGCAGATCCCAAAAGTGTCTGGTCTAAAATTCTTTTTGTTGTCTTCAAGTGTATATATTTATAAATATTTTACACTTTCATTTCACACTGCCCTGGTTTTGAAGCAGAGTTCGGTTGAGATCTGCGAAACTGCAAATATCATACAGCAGCTGTTGTGTGATCCATGACAAACTGGACAAGGGAAAATAAACTGCGTCTAGCTGTTTACTGTCAAGACTTGTGCAAATTTTTCCTGAACAGACTAAACGGAAGAACACAATATTAGGACAGTGAATTAGCACTCTTAGTGTAGTTGTCAAAATGTAATTCTTAAACTATAAATCATTGCTGTAGGGACCTTAGAAAAGTGGAGTGGAGTTCAAAATCCACTTCTGTGCGTATGTGTTATTTTTTTAACTACAGTGATGAATAAGGAGGTAATATTGTCAATGGATCACTGCTTTTAAAGTTCCAAACATGACTGTTAATTTTGATTGAGGGAGCTTGAGCAATCTGGATGTGCATGTTGAAGCTTACAAATATGAGTGGTAGTACCAGGCATCAGATGTTCTGCACCACTTGGTATAAATTAACTTGAGGAGTATGAAAAAAAAGAAGCATGCCTGATTCGCTGATGTTGAGCCTTTCCTGGCAGGTGTTTTGAACTATATGCATTCATATTCTGAAGTTTTTCAACATTGCTCGAGGTTTGGTGTGAAAAAGTCTGCAGAGGGAGACAGTAAAATAATGCAACACAATAATGCATATTTGATCAAATGTACCAATGTATGAATTTGAACTTCTATTCTAAATTCAATACATTTCAATACAATTCTCAATAAACAAGGTTCTAAAAAAACATGCATATATAACACATCTTCAAAAAGATAATTACTAGTAAATGTTAACAATAAGTTTGCTGCTCGTGAGTTTAGTGAAAATCAAACATTTAGCATATCTGTCATTTTCTCTTAAACCTTTATTTTTTTAATCACTATTTTCCTAAGAAATGGGCTGAATCTGTTATTTCTTAAAAGCCTAACTTCCTGTGCGAAATATCTTGCAAGTAGGTTTGTAGCCTTTCTCAAACTTTTGTTCTCTGAATTGAATCTGCTATCCTTGAGCTTGCGTACCATCAGTAGGTACCTGAATAGTGAGGCAATCTTCCTCCCTCTCCCTTGCTCTTCTCCATTGTTGCATCGCATTCACAGGGAGGATGAAGAGCTGGAAGGTCACAGATAGAGAGAAGTGTTATGTTTGTTCCCGTCTCTGCCCTCTGAGTGAATGTGTCCACAGATGGGATTATATTGAAAGGCAAAGAGAAATTTGCAGAGCAATGAAAGTGCTTTAGAGGTAAAAGGCCCTGTACAGTTGCACAGATAACTGTAACAAATACAGTTTTTCATCATCCATCTTGTTATCAGTATGCCAGGGTATTTTGTAGTTTAAAAATGCACACTTTGTTGCTGCAAAGATTCATGTTATACACACAACATGCTGAATAAGTTCTACATATTAAATATTTTACCAAGATCAGCACGCAAATGCAAATAAAGGTGTTGCAAATATACAAGAAAATATATAAATAAAAATATAAACTGTATGTCCTCATTGCTGTTGTTCATGTACCGACTTATACAGTTGGATTAAACATGGATTGATTAATGAAACAGGTTTCTGAGGAAGGTGGATATGACAGTAACTAGAGTGTATACAGAGATGCTTATATTTGTATTGATCGTGATGATATCACAGTGAGTATTTAAACGAATGATATATATATAATGATATGTATAATTTACTGGTGAAGTGGATGCTGGGTGTCATAAGGTTTTTTACCCAGGGATTTTCCTGGCACTAGTATAGGCCGATGTGAACGGTTCATCAGAGTGATGGCCGGCAGGAAGAAACTGTGTCTGGTTGTTTTGGTGTACAGTGTTCTGCAGCACCTACCGGTTCAAACATGCTGTGTCCAGGATGTGATGGGTCTGCAGTGATGTTACCTGCCCGTTTCCTTATGATGGACGAGCAGAGAAAAGACTGGATAGTGTCTCTGTTGGAAGTCCACTGTAGGTCCTGGGAGAGGGCAGAAACCTGAAGGATTCCACAGCAGACACAATGTTGGTCATTGTTATAACTTGCTTTCATATTGATAGGTTGAACATTGTTCATGTGTGTGTGAAATTACTGCACCTACACGACAGAGATAAATGAGATTCAGCTATCATACCTCTATGTCAGGAGCTGTCTAGCTGCAATTAATTTATGTTGGCAATTGTACCACTTGAAAGTAGTTTAAAATACTTGGAAGTACTGGTGGCATTTTCGTTTTATTGCATGCAGAAAAGACAACAATGGAAAAAGCCATCATATGGAATCTCTCCAGTTTGTAGGCATACTCATTTGTGGATAACATAGTGGTTTGCAGTGTAACTGTCCTGATGAACGCTTTTGTTCATGTGTTGGCAGTAATAGCTATGCTTTTTCCATTATCCATTCAGTTTGGTTGTTTATGGATAATGCTTCAGCCCATGGTATTTTTGGGTGAGAGGATAAAATCCAGGTGACTCATACTCATGGCACACTGATGGCTTTCCCTTGTTATCAAGTTCCAGAAAGGCAAGTTGGCTATGTTAAATAAGGCAGCATTTGGTATTCACTGTCTGCAAGAGAGACAGTCATGCTACCCTTAAACAACCAGCAGCTTATTTATCTGAAATTAAGAGAAGGACAACACCGGCATGCATTCAAATCAATTCATTACTGTCGTTCATCAAGGTTAGACAAGTACACATATGGCTGGTATTTCACAAATCTGCAACCATACTGTTTTATTGTATTTTTGAAGTATCGCAATTACCTGTTTACAGTAAAACTGAAAATTAAGCAAGTGGTTTCATGAAAAAGCAAAGTTGAAAGCAAGCAATCTTGTCTGGAACCTCTAAACATAACAGTTAGTATGTACCAGACTGTCCACATACTAAGATAAGAAGCACAATTGTGTAGTTTGTGCTGACATACTGTTAAACCTACAGTACGGACTATGTGATTTATGCACTACTTTGCACACATTACTTTGGCATGAACTTGCCCAATAATTAATTATTTACACACACACACCTGTAAATAAGATAAGATGTACTGGGCAAAATAGATTTGTTTAGTCAGGGACTGCATCACCCCTCCTGCCAACAAATATATAGTTTCTGAGGGTTTTCTTGTAAATAATCTTGCAGTGGAAAAGATCAAAAGCCAAATAAGACCTCACAAGTTTAATGAACAACCGCAATTCAAAAGGTACATCGTACTTCAATCGCATTAGGAGTCTGACTCCCACTTAACCAAACTAGACAGGACCAAATTTAGTCAAGATAAATCAACTTTTAACAAACGCAAGTTAACCACAAGTTAACAAGCCATGCCTACTTGCTTACATGGAAGAGCCAAAGGATCAATTTAATATTTTGGATGATCAAGCCAGGAAAGTAAACCACAGTTACAAATATTAGACACATAAACATTCTTTGATACCTACAGTATCACAATAAGTTCACAGCGATGTTTTTATTTCTAACGTCCTGAAACAGCGAAATATTTCTTATTGTAGCTATGTGATTACTGGCCTCGAAAACAGACTTTTAACTGCCTTATCTGGACACCAGTAAACTTGATCACTTTGAAAAACTGCAAATATCATCACTTTTGTTGTTTTATTGTTTGTTTTTAATATTTGTATTGTGGACTCTCTGGAAAGCAGTATTGCGAATGATTGGATTATAAAGTATGAAATAAAGTAAATTAATTAGTCAATAAGAACTTTCCCGCTTTAGTGACATAAATTAAATGGATGCAATAAACAAATGTAACAATGAATGATAATAATCTGATCCACTTAGTGCTAAGAAATCTCAACTACACAGAAAGGTTAATCAGGTAAAAACTAGTGCTGGAGTAATTCCTCCTTTATCGTCGTCCTCCTCTGTTACACTGGTTTTGACTCCTTCCGATTGCAAAAATCACACAACGACATTTGCTGAAACTGTGTCAAGTTTTTAGTTTCACACTAGGCCCCGGCTCTGGAAACAGCTCAACTGAGTGTGATGGGTTTCAGTGCCTGGAGTGTACAGTAATGGACTGGCAATACTTTCAGTCATTTCCTGTCATATCACATTGAACAAAAATGTCCACACCAGTCACTGAGCCATCAACTGTTCGACAAAAGCTCAGTCAAACTATTTTCTTCAAGTTTAATTATCAATCCAACAAAAGTGCTAACATCCATAAAATGTTCATTTAAACTGTTTAACTGAGTAACTCTGTCAATACTAATGATCTTTAATTATCAGTGGGCTACAGTATATGTTAAATATGAACAATGCCCTCAATAAAAGTAGATAAGATCAGGAGATCGCTAACCTTGGAGGCCTGCAGCCTGCAATGGGACGTTGTATCACAATGTTAAAACATTTACGTTTTTCCCAAATTAAGTTATTTTTCTCGACCTGTATTCATACACTCACCTATAAGCTCCACCACCAACCCCCGAGAAATAATCATTTTGTAAGATGGTCAAACTTGAACTGGTGGGACTCTGGTGCACCCGAGGAAACCCATCGAGACACAGAGAGAGAATATGCACAACTCCACACAGAACCCAGCTTTCTAGATCGGGTTCTAACACAGCACCTTCTTTAGGCTTTGCAACCCACTGCGTCTGAGCCCCCATGCCACCCATCCCTAACATGCTGCGTACAACTATTAGTGTATGTTATTATTCCGTGACAACAACAGTCATGTCATTGTGTCCTAAATTAGAGAAGCAATAATCAATCATGTAAGCTGTCGCTAGTGGGGTTTAGACAGGTCGGTTGACAGAAAAGGTGGATGTGAGATGTTCTGTTATGCTGATCTGTGTTTGTCTTCCAAAAGCC